CGTTATTGGTCTCGTTCCCTTTCTCTGAGTTGGTTTAGATCCCGGTACCTTGGGCTCCACTCAACTAGTGTGTCTCTGTCGACACACTCTGGAAGCATCGCTCCCCTCACCATTGAGGGTTATTGTGAGTATGGTGCTTTCTTTCGAGCGTTAATCCTCTCTGAGGAGTTGGATTCCTCGCTCCATGGGCTGTCCTCGTGGTAGTATTGAGCAGTTCTCCCCTTTTATCAAAGGGTTACCTGGAATGAGCAACAAAATTCCTCTGAATTATTTCTCATTCTCAAGTTGCTCAGTATGACTTTCATGTCTTACAACTATGTGCCGGTCAGTGGGTGAGCGCTTCTTGTGCATTTTTTCTGTTTTAGCTAGTGTAGGGTATTTAGGGCGTCGCCTACGCTGAAGCTTCTGTGTTTTTGTTTCACATTTTTATTTGGTTAGGATAGGTTAGTGGGTTTGGGCGTTTTAGCGTAGCATTGTTTGGTTTAGTTTTTTTTGTTTTGATTTACAAAAAATCAAAAATCTCCCTCTGCCTCTATTTTTCCCCTCTGATACTGTTGACTTGGTCTGTTTGTCTAGTATTATGACGTTATGTGACAATTTTACCACTATCTCCTGTGTGTGCCTAGATTCCAATTTTGGTCGGAGAAGCAATGAATCGTACAAGAAATCATTTAAGCTAAAATGTTTAATTGCTTTATTACTGTTGATGTCAGGAAATGTGCAGCCAAACCCAGGCCCAGACACCCCTATAGGCTTTAACACCCCGGCAGATTTTAAAGAAAGGTCTGGTCTTGGTTTCTTTCATTTGAATGTACGCAGTCTTGTTCCTAAAATGGACATGTTGCGTATCATTGTTTGGTTTAGTTTTTTTTGTTTTGATTTACAAAAAATCAAAAATCTCCCTCTGCCTCTATTTTTCCCCTCTGATACTGTTGACTTGGTCTGTTTGTCTAGTATTATGACGTTATGTGACAATTTTACCACTATCTCCCGTGTGTGCCTAGATTCCAATTTGGGTCGGAGAAGCAATGAATCATACAAGAAATCATTTAAGCTAAAATGTTTAATTGCTTTATTACTGTTGATGTCAGGAAATGTGCAGCCAAACCCAGGCCCAGACACCCCTATAGGCTTTAACACCCCGGCAGATTTTAAAGAAAGGTCTTTTTAAAGGATTCGCTATTTCAGTTGTTTTATGTTACTATATTTTGTACCTGTATGTATGTATGTATGGTTGTACTGCTGCCTATCTTGGCCAGGACACTCTTGAAAAAGAGATTTTTAATCTCAATGGGTTTCTTCCTGGTTAAATAAAGGTAATAAAAAATAAAAAAATAAAAAAAAAATATTTAGGCGCCACTCTATCATGTCTCTCCCTTTTTTTGTTTGTTTGTTTGTTTGTTTGTATTCCACTTTTTATTTTTGGCACTGTAAATATGCACACGCGCTGCTGGTGCGTTTCTGGACAGCTACGTGAATAAATTGCTGTCTTTTGCCATTTGTAGAATAAATTACTGCCTTTTGCCATATGCTGTCGTCCTGGCTGTTTTTCTGCTCTCCTCTCCATTCATCGAATTTATTTGTTTTAAATGTTGCGGACCAATTCCCTAGACCTCGAAAGGACCGTAACAGTAATCAAAAAAGGAGAATTAAGCATGCACAACTAAATATTTAAATCTTAAAATTAAATTAAATCTTTTAAAGAAAAAGAATAACACAAAATATAAATCGTATAAATAAAAAAAATATAAATCATTCCTCCAGGGATCCTCTTATTACCGTTAGATTATTAGTAACAATAAATAAATATATAAATGCATAAATAAATGTAAAAAATCGGTGCAGAAGCAAAGTAACAAATTGTATTAAAAAGTAACTAGGGATGTTCATTTCGGTTATTTTTCCTAACCGACAACCAACGCTCGTTAACCGAGCAGCAAACAACAGAACATGAGGATTCACATGGTCATCATATCACATCACGCACCTGCAGCGCTTCTGCCAGCAGAGAAAAACATAATAAAGCTAGGCTATATATATATATATATATATATATATAACCAATGGCGCTACATGTCGACGCGCTGCCCACGAGGCTATCGGTGATGACATTAAATGACTTTTTAAACCGTTTAACTGATTGTATTAATCGGTCAAAATTCTTACGGTCGGTTAACCGGTTAAACGGTTAAAATGAACATCCCTAAAAGTAACAAATTGAATTAAACAAAATTTGAAGCAGAAAGTCTAAAAATACTATTTTTGTAAAACATACTTTTACTATCTTTGTTAAAATATTTTTAAAGTGTTTTTCAAGCATAGCTTTGCTAATAAATTTTACCACAAAAAATGTTATTCAATTGTAGCAATTTTGTTGGCATTTTTATTTTAATAAGGAAATGATTTTCAGGATTCAAATGATACTTGACCACAGGGTAAGGTTTCACTCGAGTATGGAGGCTATATGTAACATTGGCCATAGGGTGGAAAATGTGCCTTCCCTTGAAAATTTTTCTTCCCTTTTATTGCAGATTTGTGGTCGGTCGCCTCTTAACACAGCCCAGCAAATCAAGTCTGACTAATGACGGTCTACTCCAGAGAGCTCTGATATAATTACAGCCCTGCATTCATAACACTGAGGCCTGACCAAAATACCAACCAGAGACTCCATTCATCAGACATCAAATATTTATCAGAATATAAATTCAGTCGAAATGAGGGTTTGGAGCTGGACGGAGGATTTGCTGAATCCTATATTTAGTCAAATGTGGACAGACCGAACCAGACAGAAAAAAACATTCATGCTGCTGTAAATTGACTCTTAATGTACATGTGGAGTAAATCAGGTATGCTGGCGTTTTGGCATCATCATAAGAATGTGGCATAAATCAGGTACGCTGGAGTTCAGCAACACCATCAGAAAAAGCGAATGACTGAAGTGACGACTGCTCAACTTCTGAAGGAAATTAAGTAAAAGAACACATGG